CAGGGTACGGGATGATACCTGGTTAGTAAATTCCATACCTGGCTCGGCTTCACCTCGCCAGGTATGATATTTACTAACCAGGTATCATCCCGTACCCTGTCACTAAAAAACTATGTAACTAATAATTCATATCTCGACACTATACATGTATATCCCAGTGAGCTTGAAATAAAAGATACCACAGAGTTTGACACATCTGTTTCATATTTGGATATTTAACTAGAAAAAGACGTTAATGGTAATCTAACAAAAAGCTTTATGACAAAACGTGATGACTTTAACTTTTCAATCGTCAACTTCCCTTACTTATGCAGCGATATACCCTTATCACCTGCATATGGGGTTTATATCTCCTAGTTGATTCGATACGCCAGAGCATGTTCTACGTATGAACAATTTCTAATACGAGGTAAGTTATTGACAAACAAGTTGATGAAACAAGAATATCATTAGTCTCGTTGAAAGTCATCATTTGTTAAGTTCTATGGTAGATAAAATGACCTTGTCAGCAAATACAATCCATCTTTAAGTCATATGCGGACTGACGTTTTTCGTACTCATTGTTAGGCCATTATTTACTCACTGAATTGTCGACGGATTTTTCCCAAAATTTTCCCGATCATGACAAGGGACACACACCTGGTATGACTGGTCGGCAGGAGATGCTCACTCCTCCATGGCACCTGATCCCACGCCTGATGTTTTTGGAGGACACGTTAAACTTTGGAAATTAAACATAGAAAATTTTAACTAGACATGCAATTGAAACAATGTGAGATATTCAATGTCAAATAAGTCGCAACAAGAATACTTCAAAAGCCAAAAATATGCAGTCTATCTTTTTAACGTTATATTTATGATAATCAAATCATTCGAAATCAATTAACCTGAATGAGTGTGTTTTATAGGCTTTATTATACAATTATTAATTTTGCTTCATTTTAAGAAGATACAAAATGTAACATTTGAAGAGAAAGGGGACATTTTCTTGGATCTGATGTTTACAAACAAATGTCATTGCATGACTAGAATCAATCAAAAACATGAACAATTAACTAATAAGAAATTCTACACTGCAGATTGAAAAAAAAACTACTGCACCTGTGGCCACCAGATAGGAGGTGTTGCACAGCCAAATTTCTTGGATTACAGTCACCAATCAAACTAATGATATATATACGAGCGTTGTCCTTAAATTTCGTAGACAAACTTAATGCTTTAAGTCTATATATCTTAAAATGTTACCTTTATCTTATCTATATCTTGTACATTTTTGCTATGAGCATTTTAGAAGCATACTTCACAAAATACCAGAAAAATACAATAGGAAAACTTGAATGGCTTGGGAACAACTTGGATATTCCTAGGTACCCATAAAACCAGATATACGCTAGATTCGGTTCAACTTTATTTAATGTTACAAATACAATATACATGGAATCGGAAGTAATTTCCGCATTATGTTTATATCCAGCACGTTTTACTTTTATAAATGCAGTGTGCTTTTGCAACAATCGCGACCTCTCGTATGTTATTGTATTTAATTTGCTTGCAATACGACAGCTGTTATTTAGTGTTCACATCTTGCATTTTCCGTCTCATAACGTCTCCACGGCATTTCCTTTGCACATTGTTAGATTTAACACGTCTAAAAATTCCTGCTACATCCTAAAATCTGCTGCTGATCAATGCAGAAAATTATAAGTGGCATATGTTGGCGGTAAAATTCAGTAATACATTACGCTCCCTGCCACGATGTGGATATTGATGACAAGTTTAGTCCGGAATACAGACCAGCCAGACAGTGTAGCGAGAGGAACTTATATATAGAAAAATTTTAAGACTTATAAGACTAGTACAAATTCCAGATATCTTCATATTTGTAACTTAATGCGTATTTGTAACTTAATACACATTCTTTGCATTTAGGGAAAATGAAAAATAAATTTGTGGAGGAAAAAAACCCCAAAATGTATTTTGCATATAAATATTTAGTGTCTGGATTCATCAATCAGGAAAGACTCTTTCAGTAATGCAAACACAACTTATAAAATATCCGTTACTTATGTAGCTGCTTTTGCAGTTCGATAGGAAAAAAACGAAGTAAGGATTGCAAAGAATTTTACTGGATAAAGATAAAGACGACCAAATGTGACGCATTTGACATACGCATGTATCAGCATCTATATGGAAAATTTTAATCAGCTGTAATATAAAGAATACAATGTTTTCCGTAAATGAGAATATATTCTATCCCTATTGTCTTAAACAGTAGTAGATTTGGAAGGATTAGAACTCCAATTAGGGATGAAAAAGGGGCCTCTAGTGTAAAAATAAATATGGTGTAAATAGATACAAATAAAAATATTTCGTTACTGTAAAATCATTTATTATCTTGGGGTTAAATTTTCGTGGTATGTAGGCAGTTATGACACTGCAGTGTGATATTTTACATTTCATGGAGGACAAAGATTCGTGGATCTCTTTATACCACGAAAAGGACGAAATTCAACCCCACAAAAATAAGTGAATTTATAGTAAAAGTGATCTAGCAAAAATATTCATCTTTATAAGATTTGTGAACTTTTAAGTCCTGAAAAAATGTAGAAATCTTTATAAATCATTATAATAATTAAAAAATAATGGAAAGTTCAAAAATAAGACATTTTTTAATGTTGAGAAGCAATTTAAAAAGTATTCATTTTTGGTCAATTTCCTTAGAAAATAAACAGTATGATTTTATAATTAGTTAAAAGTGATAGCAAAAGGAATCATATGCATGCCATTTTCTTTAATTCAAAGGGCTAGTTTAAACTACTAGTAATTCATATTTGAGATATAATTGTTTGAAACGATAACTAGAATTTTGTACACATGCACAAGAAAAAAAGTTCAGTCCTTCGAAAAGTTAGTTCTACAAGCTTTAAGGGCTCATGACCGACAATGTCCATGCACACAAAAGTATATGTATGTTACATAGTATATCTGAAAGGAAAGAATTTGTTCAGCTTTTGAACCCTTCCTTTCCATCATATTATCTAAACAAAAATCCCAGCCACCTCTTAGTTTTGCTAAAATATATGGTGGTATTAGGTCAACAATGCTTTTATCAGTATTTGAATAGTGCCGAAAGGGTATGATTTGGGGATCTTCAGACATAGGTAATACGTACCGATGTTCTTTGACTATAAGTACATAAAATTATCATCAGTTTTAATAAACAGACCTTTCTATATGCTCAATCTAAAACTCTAGGTTTATCAGGGAGAAATAATCAACAGGATGTTTTCATGATTATTAAAATGTAAAAACAATTTAAAGAAACTTCTGCATTTCATAGCATTTTAGCAGATTGTCAATTCTTTTTGCAAAGCAACTATCGAGAAAACGGGGGATCTTGAAAGACATTAGTATCTAGAAAACCGGGGCATTGAATCAGTAAATCCTTGAAAAAACAAAGTTTGAAACTTTGGCGTATGAGAGGAGTATTTCCTCTTTTTCATATCAAGAGATCACATCCATGTCCATTCATACTCATACATCTCGATACATACATATACTTTGTCATTCGGACTTGATTTTATAGTCATTGAGGATAAAAAACCCATAAAAAACTTAAATTTGAGGATCTTCAATAAAGTTTCTTACATAAATATACTTTATTTGAATGATATTCTAAAATATTCTTAAACATTTATTAAATTACCGAGCAGAAAGGCTTTTTGTAGTTTGTCCTTTTCAAGTAACGTCAATCAGTTTTTAATTTTTAGAGGCAGCTTTCTTTGACAGTTCCTTCTTTATTTTAAATCAATTTATTTAAGAATACGTTTTTCCACAAGCAATTCTGAAAAATAATAAACGCATAGCAAACAAAAATTGAATGTCAAAATCAAATATAAAAAAAAGTATATGTACTTTGTAAACTTTTTTTTTCAAAAATCATCTCTGCAACATTTTTGTTGGTTTGATTCCTGCTTACTGTGAGAAATATCCAACTGGTCAATTTTTGGGGGATTAAAAGACAATTTTTCATAATTTCGATACCTTGTGGCTCTCTTCCACTGCACCTGTTGGTAAATTCCTTCACATTCAGACAGAGCACACAGTACTTTGTTATTATCATACTCCAGTGTCCTGATCTTTCTAAACACCCAAGAGTATGAGGTCAAATATGCGGAACATAGCGTATGTAATAAGTATGCAAATACGTCCAAGACCTGCTGGTGTGAAGTGTAATTATTGACTAAAAGGAGGAAATGTTTTCATAAAATTAATTTCTATGCCCATGTATTATACCCTTTTATCCGAATCCGTTTTTGTTTTTATAAAAGTTCATACATAACTCTTATTTTTGATAAATAAAACAAAATAAGTGCCCAATAAAATTAAATTTTGCATCCACTAAGATGTAATTTTATTCAGTTTTAAGCAAATTCCATTGAGGACAGGTATAGTGTTTAAATTTTACAATCAAACAAGAATTTTTCATTTTATTTCAGGAGAAGGCCTCCACTAAATATTTATCATAGTCACTTCTCAGGAATTTTTTTTTTATAAAAACCAATAATGTGTATTTATCAAAGTCATTTTAAACTTTTTTTAAAGTCACATTTCAGAAGAGTTTATTAAAAGTCTCTTTTCAGTAAATGTGTATCAAAATTCATTTTTGTTCAATCTCATCTTTGTCATCGACTGTGACTTTTTAATAATCCTTTGATGTCTGTCTGAAGCAGATAGTTTAACAAGTTTCGTAAGCTTTCCTAATATTAAACTATGATAACACTCACGCCAGGTTTTAAACTTGAATTCTTAGTATAGCGGGTAAAATACATTTGAATATATTATTCTAGATTTTCTTGAGAAAAAGGTATTGTAAATAAAGTTGAACTATAATAGGTATATTCAGTGTTTTAGAGATTCAAATAGGCAATGCTCTCAAATACCGAGTATTTTGATATTGTGCTTAATTTGAGAACCAATAAATCTTTTAAAAAAGAGAATTAAAGGTTTCATTGTTTTATTTTATTCTTATATAACATAGTTCGCAAGGAGACAGAGAATTGAAATGAACTTCAAAAACAGGGGGAAAAAATCCACTTATATGCAAACACTTTGCCGACATTTTCGTAATAGATACATTATATACATTCTTGTGAAATAACAATAAAACATATAACAACAATAATGTAAAATATAATTACATGTACAAATCACAACCATGGAATGTAACATTTCAGGAAAGTTTAATTTCGCCAAATCTCATTAAAGATTTACATCAACAAATTATTATAATATAACATCCATTATTCTGGAAGTGTTATTAAAGATGTTCCCACTGTTTTAATTTCTGGTTATTTTTGCAAAATTAGATGAATAAAATCTAATATTTCTAAACACATGTCTCGTCAAAATAAATAGGACAGCCTACCACGTAGTTAAACTGAAAATTCGATTTTTGCACAATGTCATTGTCAAACAAGTTTGAGCCAAATATGAGTAAACTAGACTAAAGTCCTGAAAATTGGATTCAATTTTATTTCTATGTCTGTCCTTACTGATATTGCTACCTCGTAATTAATTAATAAGATGATGATAAAAAAAAATTTAAGTAAAGAATTCAATTTCAATTATATTAAAGTTGAAATTTCCAACAATAAAAAAGGTATATTGATCCTGCATTTTCTAATTATGAGGGGCAGGCTTCCCTTTCATGTACCCTTTCCACCGTTCAAGGGTGTTCTGAAAAAGTGGATCATTGTCTAACTCAATAAGTATGTATAACTGTTTGATATGAACCTTATGATAGTCCCATCGAGCACGATTTGGTGCAAGACCTGATGTGATGTGTCGAAGGTCATAAAACGTTCCTGTGCCAGAATCAAACATGAGCAGCATTGCTTTCAAAGTCCTCATTCCCCTTTCAAATAGTTCAACTGCTTTTTTTCTAATGCCACCTGTTGCCATTTCTTTAAGGTCATATAGACCAAGTAAAGAGTAAATAAATCCATTGAGCACAAAACTGCTTGGTGTAGTTGGATATTCTTCATACCAGTCATATGTATTGAGAAACTTTGCTAGAACTCCACCTTCAGAACTTGGAATATCAAAAATATCCATTGCTTTACCCGCTGCTTCTAAGAAGTTCCTGTCTTTAGAGGCCACATATGCACGTACAAGGAGAGAAATGGCATGTCCTTGACCCATGGCAGAATACCATCCTGGCTCCAGTTCCATAACTTCTGGAATTAGTTTACGTGTCACTTTCACTGGCCACCCGCCCATGGAATCTTGATGCCGTACAAAATAATTTGCAGCATCAAAAAACAAATCCTTATGTGCGTGACTACGAAGAGTCACATTGTCCATAATACCATGACCACGAACACAAATAGCTGCAATGTGGGCTGCACTTTTTATTTTATTACTTCGACTTTTCGAATATTGTAATGTTAATCCTTTTTGAAAATCGACCATTACTTGTCTAGTTAAGTGAATCCATTTTCCTTTTTTGTGCGACCCAATTCCATAATAAAGGTCTTTGCCGTTTGATTTGATTATGTTATCACTAAGCACGTAATGAATACGGAACAAATTTCCGTCTTCTGTGTCAACTAAAACTGTTACGCTTCCGTTATTTATAAACATAATATCCATGGACAAAGTCGACATATTCATTTCTTCCGCTGATTTAGTGATTCCGGAATTTTTCAGGTTTGCTGAAAATATATAAGTATATATATTAAAGGAACAGTTGCTGGTAAATTCTGCTTAAAGGTTTTGCACATATCCAGATGGTAGTAAAAATGGAAATATAATACTTAAGAATTCTTTTATTCTAGAAAGAAAATTCTGTAAAATAATTATCAAAATTCATAATAGGAGACAATCAAAATGAAATTCTGTGATATTTGTGTACTTGATGTTTTGAATTCCACTACTCCATTATCTAACAAAATTCTATCATCCATCCTGCTGCGGATCTCAGATTTGCGATCAGGGAGCAACCAATCTGATATATCGGTTTGTTCTCCATCCTCTAAAACTTTCATTTTCGGCCTGGACTTTGTCAGGTATTTGCTATAGTGACTTAAACCGTACTGTGCTATCTGTATGGGGTAATAATGACCTTTCCGCTCCCACTGTGTTGATACAGGAACACCTAGAAATAATTTTCAACAAATTCTGAAAAGTGTTTCTTGTGTAGCTAGTAATTTATAATTAGTGTGAAATGGTAAACGAAAAGTTATCTACATTATATTTTTGCTTTTCTACCTTCAATGCCAGAGACACATTTGACCCTATTTCTATCCTCTACGCTATATTGATCAAATGACATGAAGACACCGCTAGGATGATACTTAAGTTGAGGACCAGAGGGAAAATCGTCTTGGTAGCTGTGATGGAATGAAAACCTCTCGTATCCATCTGATGATTCAATGGAGCCATATACCTGTATTGATTATAGAATAACCTTATTAATCTTTTGTAAAGATTTTCATTGTGTTCCTTTTAGTTGGTTTGGAATTTTTTTTTCTTGTTTTAAGCTTATGACCTCGAGTTACTGCTGATTACGCTTATTGCTAATATGGCTCACAATTCATACCTCAAAATATTTCTGGATGAAGGAAAATGGTATGTAAACATCTTTCTCATCTTTTCTTCCCATTATGGAGTAGTCTCCATTTATGATGCACTCAAGTTCTTCATATTTGATTGGCTTGTTCCTTTCTACTTGATTGTAAGCCTGGGCTACCCTGGGCTGAAACCCCACGGAAGCTTTAAACTCATTGAAGATTTGTAACGAAACTTCTTTCCTTTGAAATCCACAAAAGATATAAAAGATAAATGGGGATGTTTTATCTCTCAATGCCAAGTACATTATTGGCTTAACTTTACATGTTTTTTTTTATTATTCTTTATAATTCATTTTGTGTCTTTTGACTTATACATGTACTTAAAATCTACTTTACCTGTAAATGCTATCATCTTCCCTAGTAATATCACATCTTTCAATGTTGTATACTGTTAGCAGAAGAGGGAAGATACCCACACATATTATAAGAACCTTCAGGTTCGTACGGTACATGTGTAGAATTAAACCTGAAGAACAATTTTGTACGTAAGTTGAATCATTATTAGTACATGTTGAAAATCACAATGTTCTCATCATTGTATATTTTATTTGGTTTGTATTGATTGATTGATTGTATATTGTTTTACGTCCCATTCGAGAATTTTTCACTCATATAGAGACATTTCAGTACTGAATTGTGGTCTAGAGTGATGCATTATTCATAGAAATGGTAAAAGTCTTGCATGCAGATCTTTAACTGGACCAAAATGCAAAAGATATCATTCCTTTTCTTGCCCTGAAGCACACAATTTCATATTATTTCATAGGATGCTATCGCTTTTAATTAATTGACATATTTTGCAAAATATGGCATAGGGAAAAAAAATCAAAAACATTGTGTTGAAATATTTCATGACTCTTTGAGATTTCGCATGATAAACGAACAAGCAAGCAAAATCACAGAGAACTCCGGTAAAAAATATATTCAGCTTCCAATAAATAACCGACTTAAAACAAACATTTTTAGGGAAACAGTGCGTCACATTGTCCATTATCAACGTGTTCGTCATTAATTATATAGTGTTAAACTTACCAGGCGAATCGTGACATCAAAGCAATAAATAGTAGCTATCTGCAGCAGAGGATGACCATTCTCTATTCATCATTCTCTCTCTCTCTCTCTCTCGCCTAAAAGATTTTTTCAATTGATTTTTTTTCTTTTTAATTCTCTACTTTATAGTAAGATGCTTTATTTCTTATGATTGTACAGACATTTATGAAAAAAGTATATCTTTAATGGTCATGTACCCCTAAAAAATAATGATAATAATTTTTTTTTTTTTTTTGAAAAATCCATTTATCATGGAAGGGGGTTTGAATAAAAAAGAAAAAAATGATATGGGAATAAATTGCAAAAGGACCACAAACATATACAATCAGACGTTTATTTTATAACTTTAACCGTAGATTACATTCTTTGCAACCTACATGTAACATGTTTATCTGATTTAAGTGTAAATGATGATGATAAAGAACAGTGTCAATCTCATATATACAGTAGACAAAACGGACAGACAAAACAGCAAAAACACGGATCCCTAGAAACACTAGAGGTAGGGTCATGTGCCTAAGAGAAGTAGACATCCCCTGTCGACCAATCATACCCACCCTGAGCTCAATGAATAATGAGAATACATCATAGTCAAATTTAGCATAAAAGCAATTACCTAACAAATGGTATGAAACATCTCAGCCAAAATACGACCAAACGATAGTATTTACAAACAAGGTCATTATAACGACTATAGAATTTGCCAAAAGCTGACTTTAGAAGGAGTAGGTGAAATCCTTGTAATATCAACTTATTTGTCAATAGTTTGCCTCGATTTAAGAATTAATCATACCCAGAGTATACTCTTGCATATCGAATCAGCTGGAAGACATAACACCATATGTAAATGATGTTGGAATATTTCTATATAAATAATGGAAGTTGACGATGGAAAAGCTGGAGTCATCCCGTTTGTCATACAGTTAATTTGTTAGTCTGTCATTATCGTCTATAGTCAGTAAAACATCCAAACATTAAATTAAAATTTTCAAGATATAATTTTATAAGTTATAATATTAAGTTAATATCAGAGTTAACTATAAACCTTACAATACTGCTGGCAAAATAAAAGGAGGGTTTTAGTCATGAAACGGGATGTAATCATAGATAATTTTGCCGCAAAATTTCAGAGCGCAACACGCAATCAATATTTCATGAATGTGTACTTCCCTAAACGTTATAGAAGTAATTATCTAAATAAAGTTTAATTAAATGTTCAGTAGCTATTAAAATTCATCTACCATATATTTCTACATTTAGAAATCATAACTGATACCTGACTAAGCACATCAGGATACCTTTAAAGAATCCTCCATATCTTGTGTTTAGTGATTCCACACTGGTTGAATTTAAAAGTCACACGCTTAAGTTTCCCAAATCAAGAAAACAAAGGGTGTGGAAACAAACAGAGGGATGAAACAGATTTGGAAGAAACAAGGTCGGATGTTTTCAGTTGTTAATCGTAAACAACTGACGGCTCAATTCGCACTACTTTAGATAAGGCTAGTATAATGATAAGAAGAATAAGGGTAAAATTCGCTCTTAGAACTAAAATTTATACTCAATCAAGACATTTAAGACGCAACTCCATTCTAATAAAGGTATAATCTACCTGTAATTTATTTTTATATGTATTTCAACATATGTTTTAATTTTTCATCGTCTTGATGTTTTAAAAAGTGCTATGAAATTTTTGATGACACATTTATTGGTATGCTGAACATAAACAAAATTACGACAAAACGGTGTAAAAATACATGTTTCCTGAATCCTCTCCTCATTAAGAGGGTAAGAGAACTGCCTGTTCAGGCCTGTAGAAAGCAATTTCAGCTAACAGATTTTATATGATTATTTGACAGATACTTCTATTAGATAATTCAGTATGTCTATGATCGATATGTATTTCCTATTCTAAAGCATATAATGAATATAACATTTTTTTAAAACACATCTCTAGATGTGGGGGCCATTGTTGTCAGATGGACTTACAATCAACAGGAAGGAGAAATGATATTTTGTGCATTGTAGCTTGAACACTGCTTGAAATTTGAACTATAGGGAAAAGTGTTGAATAACCTACCTTGCAAGGTCATGCAGATGTTTGTGCATTGCACAGAATGTTTCCGCTGAAAAGGTAATGAATATCTAGCTCTTACAGATAGATAAATACCTCTCAGAAATGACAATGCTATCAATTTTCAATGAGAATAAGCGATGTACAAAGGGCACCTGTTGCATTTGATAATTTTTGAGCTTAATGCAAATATTTACATATTATCTTTTACCAATCTGTAGATAAATTTATTTTATGTAAGCATCTGCTTTACTTACGGCACATTTCATAACCAACTGAAAAATGTCAATTCCTTGTAGCATTGTTAAGACAAAAGATCTTGTCAGATACTGATTTTTCTTATCATAGAAAACACTTTTAGTTTTGAATAGTTATTGTAAAAGGAAATCATAAAGCAACACAAACCGAACTTCGGTTTTAAATTTCAATTATTTAAACCATCATCGATGTTTACCTACGTTTAAACCCCATAGTTTAATTTGGTATTATTATGTAACTTGTAACATATATATAAGAATAAAGGAGTGTTGTTTTATTTTGTTTTTTAAATAATGGTTCGTACATGTGGAGTACCTAAGACTGATAGATATTGACACACAAATGTAATTTCAATTTTTTTTAAAATATTTGTCGTCTTTAAAATATAGACTTCATTTACAATGACGACACGTGAGAATTTTTTATTCTTAGTGCCCTCAATGTAGAAGATTATGCTCAGTTCTTGTTTTTGAGAAAGATTTTGTTATATCGGGGATTTTTTGTTTTTGAAAAGTTCATTTTTTAAAAAAAGTTGCCAATGAATGCTTGTAAATTAAACAGTAATAAAATGTCATATTTTGGGTATTCTAAACCTTATCTTTAAGTGCTGATTGATAAGACGTATCGTGTAATTAAAAAAATGAAATGAAAAAAGTGAGTCAGTGAAGTAATTTTAAAATATGTACATAAATAAGCAAATCTCAGGCTAAAAATAAGGTTAACTCTTATTGACCTTTTCAATTTATCTGAAATTTTTGGCAAAGTATGTAAATTTTTTTTTAAAATATCATTTGAAACCAACATTGTATATTCCTAGCATGTTACTGTATTCTATGAGTAAAAATATGTAACGTAGGATCAATGCTCCAAAATAATGAATGAAACAAATGTGTAGAGTTTGAGAATTTCCTACTAAATATCCTTGCAGCACAAGAAATGGTCTTTTATAAATCTTGTTTCTATTTTATGAGCAGTTTTTTTTATATTGATGCTGTAAGTTATGAATTCTATAATTGAAATATGTTATTAAAATCAAATTCTAACTCATCATTTTGATATTTCTCAAAGGCTGACGAATGGCTTACCAGAATAAAAGTTTACTTATCACCACAAGTTCCTTTTTAAATATCAAAGGGTAGATAGTTTTTAACCCTTCTGGAGCCAATAAATTTCTAACGGCTTAATTTTTCGGCATAATCATCAGGTCATTTAATGTCCTTTCCTTTTCAATGAGTGGGTACCAGTGATATTCATCGACAAATATTTCTACCTTTTCTGAAATGCCAATCTCTCTTTTTGCCATTCAAACTGATCCCCAGTGAGAAATTTATCAAAATTACCCGGTGTTTTACATATACAAGGTCTTTTAAACAGTTTTTAAACCCGGAAGATCATATGCATAACAGGAAAATAAAGCAAAACAAGAATGTACGTGCAGTACTAAAGCATCTGTGTTTCAGAATGTCTTTTTATTTTGATTTTAATAATTCTATACAAATTAATATGAAATAAACAGGATAGAAATAATTCATTGAATAAGCAGTTCACTTTCAATGTGATTTCATTACTTTCATAATAGCCAAATCATTCAAAATACATGATAACGTACTTTAACGAAAAAAAATTCTGGCTATACCCCCCTCCCCCCCCCCAACACTTTAAAAAACACACATAGAAAAGTTATGCAACATATGTGAGTTGTTTAAATCCCTATAACATTCAGTAGATCAAACCATATTCAGGTTAACCTTGTTCCTTGGTCTTGTTTGCAAAATTTAAATAAGATATACATGTAGGACAAGTGCAGAAAGAAGCACTCTGCCAGTTACTCTGATGGAAAGGAAAAATCACTCTAGTGTTAAGTCTTTATGTATTTAATTACATTTTCAAACAAAAAAAATCACAAAGAAACAACTAAGGTCTTGACATCTTGAGATGATTAAAAAAAATCAAATCAGTGTCTTAGAAATGATAATAGAAACGACTAAGAACTTATCAGTGACAATGTCTAATCTCGTCTATTAAGCAACAATTCATTCTAAAGTGCTATTTATATTTGTATCTTTTATGAATGAATGAGCCTATGGATGTATAATTACTTGAAAAGTTTAATGTGATTTACGAACATATATTTATATCTATGTAAATCATTTTAATGGCCCATCGGTGATATTTAGAAATAAGTTTATGAGAAACCGATAAAATTAAAAAAAAAAATACATTAAACATAATATGATTTTTCAGCATGGATAACCCTGGCTAGTAGTCGAGATCGCACCACGTGTAATGTGTTATGGCTATATTTTCCATTCCTTTTAATTTTACTTTTACTACTTTTTTTAGTATTAGGGGGTATCAATGTAAATTCTGTCAAGAAAAGAAAAGCTACTTTTCTATTTAATGTTGTAGAAATGAAGTGTTAATATTTCCTGTCATTCTAAAGTTTTACAAAGGTGAAGACCTCTGTCAGTGAGCATGTACATTCCAAATGGTGATCTACCAAAGAAAATTAAGTTATTTAAAAATCCCTGATATTTCGAATATACTCTTAATCGATGATTTTAAAAATGAATAAACAAGAAAGGGTTGTGAAGAAATCTGAATCCTTTTAAATAATTTCCTATCGTTCTACAATTTATAAAGCATGACCATTACCACTTTGGAATGCATTCATTTTACATATTAACCCTTTTATAAGTAGATCATAAGTAAATTCTTATATTTCTAAACACATTCAAACACATCTTACTTAAGGCATTCTACTTATTTTCTAAACTTTAAATTCCACTGCAAGATAGCCAGCGTTATTGCATCGTGAACTATGAGACACGGAATAAATTCTACCTGATTTTATTTACATCCTGTTCACATATAAACACGACAAAAACTTACCTACATGTGGAGGATTTGAGAGAGCTTTGAATATCCATTCCATACAATTACAACATGTATATAGACCACTGCTTCACCAGTATCACACATATGGATTAGATAAATCGTATAACATTAGAATGTAGAACATATTCTCCTTGAGAAAAAAAAATATCGATATGTTGATCCTCTGGCAATCACGTACAGACTGTACACCAAACACTTCCCCTCGTTGTATATATTTACCTTTTTATGTTGTGAACAGAGCAACCTTTTAGGTCGTCCTTTCATCACCTGGCCAAGCGTGGAAATCTCTCCTGTAGGCTTCATTGAATGATTGCTCTTGTGGCTGAAGTTGAATGCATTAAGGTACCTTAGACCTTTAGTATATTCATCATTTATTAATTGTTTAAAACTATTATCAAGGATGTGTAGGAGATAAGGGGCTAGGTATATATTCACGTCCTGCAAAGTTTTTAATTTCTCTACCATGAGTATGATGAATGTTGAACAAAATTATTTGTACAAAATTTGAATTCAATTCTTCGTCTCCTATAATAATGCATAATTGTAATAAGCAAAGATATCCGTACAAAGAAAGATATCTCTCTGTGTAAAGCTGAATAAAATATCAGATACAATATATAAGAAGTACACATTACTTAGATTAATAAATATAATACATGATCTTCAATATTTTCAAAGACTTTTCATATTTGAAAAAATGTTTTATACAATGAAAGTTCTCTGTGTACATGAACATATTACATGTATGGTTAATCAGATACAGAGTACTTTAATTAAAAACGAAAAAAGTTTGATTTCTTAAATACAAATTTCAGTAACCTTGCATCAATAAAATCTTCAGAAGATTTGGAGATTTTCGATTTGTTATTGAAAGAATGGTGTCATCCGCTTAAATTAAACATTTTGAATATTTTATCATTTATGTAAAAATCTGGAGAAGTATTTACGATAATCGTTGGTGTCTTGTGCCAATGTTAGGGCTAATTATGTCTGTAGCAGATGCTACCTGGACAAAGACATGTAACTTACTCACAGCTAAAGCCTCGTGACAACGTATGAAAGAAGCCTGTTGTCAGTTTCGAACTGCCTTCGTGCTGCTTGGATCGGCAGCCTTTACAATAACCACGCGACAAAAGCGGGAATGTCTAAGGAGCGACCCAAAGGAAACATTCCTGACATGTCAACCATTGGTCATAGAGTCAACAGGTCACAACACTTGGTAATTCTTTAAATAACAATAATGCAAGAAATACAACTGACCTGGTACAAAAGATTTTAGCGACAAAATAGATTTCTAACTTAACTTCATCTCTTGAACCCTACACAGCCCAGAGAGAACAAAACTGCTATATTGTACAACTTACAACAAAGGCTTTGCTTAATTACTTTCTTTTATGCATTAACCTATCTTTAAACCAACAAGTAATGTTTTGTTCAAGAAATTGTTCCTGTCCGTGATGAATGTACATGTATGCACAGAAATGTGTATAACAAGTTAATCTGCAATTTGATATTGTGAGAGATCAGAACTATTTAAAATAAATATGTAGTGACATCTTAAGTCTTTGTTAAGGAGTATATTTCTTGCACAGAGAACCAGTAGAATGAATACCACAGGTTTATCTTGGTTGCAATTTTCAGTGATATTCTTGGAACCTTTTTTCTTTGCTGTAAATGTAATCACATACTTAAACATTTTTTCTAATAAAAACATAAACTTCTTACACTATTAAAAAATACTTTCACGCCCTAAGGAAACTAAATCATAAGCTCCCCTTAATCTCACCTATTACATAAGGTAGAGTTTTTCATATATAAATATTTACATTTGCTGTGTTTTTCTACTAAGCCAACTGTGAAATTGATTTGAAAGTCATTTTTGTGTATACTCACGCGTAGAAATATACATGGTGAAACACGCGCTAAAGTGACGTCACAATAAGGCTAAAGAGACGTTAATAAAAATGTAACTATATGGGGCAGCAAGGAATTTGAATATTGAGTATATCATTGGTTCTTTTAAACTTGTAAAATGTAAATATAAGGAATGTTTATAAGATTAGTGTGAATTATTGGTGTGTAAATCACACAGACTTGCACGTAGGCATATTTTTCATGAAGCGCTAGCGCGCTTCATGAAATATGCCTACGTGACAAGTCTGTGTGATTTACACACCAATAACTCACACAAAACTTAAAAACATTCCTTAATTGTATTCTTAGCCAAGTTGATGTACTTCATTTCACATCATCCTCAAAGAAGGAATACAGGATCAGATGATGTTATTTTTCATATCATACACAATATACGTCTTTTGCAAGTCCGACCATACGTAAAAATTTATATGATTTAAGAATATATTATACCTATGCTAAAAATCAAATTATTCAATTAACGCTTCCGTACGATGTATGAAATATGGAGATTGAGATCAGTAGTCAAGCTAACAATATAAATCGGGAGCAGAGCAAACACGGACCTCTAAAAAATATCAGAGGTGGGATCAGGTGCCATGGAGGAGTGATCATCCCCTGTCGACCGGTCACACATGCCGTGTGCTCATTGTCATAATTGAGCAATCGGAAAAATTCGTAGACAATTCATTGTTTAAATAATGACCTAACAATTAGTATAAAAAACGTCAGTCAGCATTTGACTTAATGATATATTGTGTTTGCTGGCAAAGTCATTGTATCGACCATACAACATGCAAATGATGACTTTTAACGGGACTGTTAATATCCTTGTTTCAGCAACTTGCTTGTCGATAGCTTGCTTTGTTTTATAAATTGTTCGTACGCAGAGGATGATCTTGCGTATCGAATCAACTGGGAGGCAAAAACCCCATATGCAAGTCTTAAGGGTATATCGCTACATATTAAGTAAGGGAAGTTGAAGAAAGAAAAGTTGAAGTCATCACGTTAATCACAGAGTTTTGTTGTTAGGTTACCATTTAAGTCTTTTTCTAGTAAAATATCCAAATATGAAACAGATGTATACCAATTGTTATACATATACTGTACGAGAGTTGGACCTCATCCATTTTTTGTAATAAAATAAATGCACATAGAAAGATTTTTTTTTTTTATCAATTTCTATGACAACTTCATTGCTACAAAACATAGCATTTTAAAGAAACATAACTTTCAGGAAAAAGTTACAGTGTAATTAAGTAACTGAGTATGAAATTGTTCAAATTAACATGCACAGCAAACCGTGTAGTTGCCTGTACGACAATACATGTAGCAAGAAATTTAGAAGAGTGTTTTAGTTTTAAGTTTATATCAATAAGTTGCATGTCGTTCTGGAGATATAGATCTGAAACTGAGAAGCTCTGTAGTAATGTAATTTTCTGTTCACACCGGAACTTGGTAAAACATTTTTGAAGAAATCAGGCATAAAAATTATCAAGTTTGGATTGGAACCTATCTTGTGGCGAACAACTTCTATGTATGTTGATTAACTGTAATATGTTACATTTCCATATTTTTTTTCTCTTCCCTGAGCTATAAAAAAACCCACATATACTATTTTCCCATAAGAACGTAAAACCGACAATACATTAGGAAGAAAGTGAAAAATACATCTTAATAAGTTTCCTTTGTCTGCATAACGAGAAAGGAAATACTCTGTTTACATGATCAATATACAGAGGGCTCTCACAGCGGGTGTGAGAGGACGACAGGGGATGTTTCCTTTTTCACCTCTGTTGTTTTTAGGGGACCATTTTTTGCTCTGTTTTCTTGGTGTGTATTGTAATCAACTTTTGATATTAATCGTTGTTCGATTTTTTTTTTACTTTCTTCGTTATATTGTGCAAAATATATTACTGTTGAAACAAACTAATTAATACAACCTTGAAACCCTGACCTTTCTTGTCTTGGTAGGTATCAGTCTAGTTAACCTGAAATATATGTTTTGAAATTTAAAAGTAAGTAAGACTTCTTGTTGAATTATTTTTTTTGTTCGAAAAAAAAAAAACAACAAAAAACAGTATATAACAGATTCTTTGAAGAAAAGGTCTGACCTGCATTCAGTCAATAAATCAATTACTGTAGATTCCTTATTTTATGCGAGTACTTCATATCGTAAGATAATTTAATTTTGGTTGTAACGCGTCATTTGATTGGCTAAAAAATTAGAATATATCGTAAAACCTGGGTTGCCTACGTCACCATGACTTACGTCAAAAACGTATCAATCCGTTTGGCGTTATATTTAAAATACGTACAATATGAAGGCATTTTTGAAGGAGAAATTTTCTAATTTTTTATTTACACTTAATGATGGAAAATTAAGGGGATGAAGGACACATGGTCACATGACTGTTTAACTACGTCATAGTCTCTGATTATATATGTGCAAAACGTGTAAACCATAAGTTCTTGTATAATTTTTGACAATTTGTTTTTACTTTAATTACCAACCTATATAGAAAAATTAAAAAAAAATTAACATTCTTGTAAACATTAACAAATTATGAAATTGTTTGATCCACTCCTCTGTTTCTCTAAACTGCACATCCAACACGTCGGTGACGTCATACACGATCTGTTAGTACAGCAAGATCATACTCGGTGAATACAGGGGCGGTATTATTATGTAAAAATAATCATAATCAGTATATGATAAAATATTTTGAGAAACGGGGAACACAAAAATTATTTTTGCATGGCTGATGACGGAAATCTTATGTAGGTATATCTAATTTTGCTTATTCAGCTTACGTGTGACGTCATAGTTGGTTTTTCCCGTACTCGAGAAATGTAAACATGACACGTTTTTGTCATGCTTATGTTTTCTTTAACGATGTCCTGTGCAATATTGAGGTCAGCTTCACCATTTGAAATTTTTACAGTTAATCAATAATGTGAAGGACTTGCATTTCAACGTAAATTTAAAAATATTGAATGAAAGAATATTTTGCAAATCTAGTTTTTTTTTTGTTGTTTAAGTTGTCTTAAAAAGTACATAAGTTCCCTATTAAGATGCAGTGTGACAGAAGAAATTTGCTTTTTCAAATTTTAAACCCTATCCATACTCTGAAATATTTTAAAAGATACATGTCCCCTCAACTATATTTTATCTATGCTTAAAAAATCCAATCATGGACAGAGTAATGGACCC